ATAAATTATATAGTTTATAAAAACCCTAAACCCTAAATCCTAAACTTTATAAACTATATGTATAGATACATTTGATAATTCATATATAGTTTATATAAACAATAGATTATAAAATTATATATGTAACAGTAACCTATAGTCTATAAACAATAGTTTAATATATGTAACTTATAGTATGTGTATTCATGTAATGTAAACTATATATGTAACTTATAGTATATGTATACATATAATGTAAACTATATGCATAAACTATATAAATTAATAAATTATATATTATATAAAACCCTAAACTTGAGACCCTAAACCATAAACCTTAAAACATAAACTTTAAATCCTAAACCTGAACCCTTAATTATAAACCTAAACCCTAAACATAAACAATAGTTAATATATAATGTAACATATAATATATGTATACATGTAACTATATATGTAACTTATAGTATATGTATCATGTATGTATAAACTATGTATAGTGTATATAAACTATGTATATATATAACCTATAGTATATGTATATATACAATCTATTTATGTTATATAAACTATATATGTAACCTATAGTTTATATTCAGTAGTTTATATTAGTACTATATAGTTTATACTTTACAAGGATACCAGAGAGCACCCGTATTACATACCCCAACCACATTTAATTGCAATTAATTTGCTTTATTTACTATAATATTGTAAAGTAGCATTGCGTCCACACATTTAAACCACTTGCAATTAAACCACACTTAATATTGCAATTAATTTTACTTTATTTAATATTACAATGATATCAGAAAGTTTAACTGCATCAATTAATTTTACTTTATTTACTATAATATTGCAAAGTAGCATTGCATCCACACATTTAAACCACGTGCGCCCTATTATACTTCTCCAAAGCATTAAAAAACCCCACCATAGACAAAGAAGAACGTGCGCTGCTACCCCATACCACCTTGTCTGGGAATTAAAAAGCCCCATGCTGTCGATAATATAACATCCCAAAATACGGGTTAGTGACTAAATTGTAAAACTTTAGATTTGGTGATTAAAGGGATTGAATAGTTTAACGATATATCTGGAAGGATTGTTAGTAATTATTAAGTGAATTAAAGGCAAAATAGTATTTAACCAATAAATAAATTAAAAGATGATAAGGATGAGATATATACACGTGAGAAATGAGGGGGAGAGGAAACAAAGTTTCCAGAGTTCTCTTCATCCTTGTATTTTCTCTCCATCATGAACCAAGTTAGAGCAAAGGTGAGTTTTCTGATTAGTTGGTCATTTGATGAATTAAAGGTTAGGTTTTGATCATTAGATGATAACTAAGCTTAAGGAAAGCTTAAGTTGTCTTATAATCAAAAGATGAAGAAGTTATAAGAGATTAAAGAAAATGAGTTTTTAAATGAACTTATGGAAAAAAGTTGATAAGTTGAATTTGAAGTTAAATTTGACTTGTCATCATGCTAATTAAGGAATATAAAGTGTTAGAATTGTATTTATAACATATTGGAATTGAGTATGATTCTTGAATTACATATGAGGGATAGGATTTTGAGGTTAAAGATGATTTTCATTGATATAAGTTTGTTTAAGTAATAATGATTGGGTTTAATGACATGATAGGGGTTTAAAATAGAAGAATTGATGATTTTTGGGCTTAAAATACAATTTCTGGGTTGTGTCTATCGATGCACATTCAATGTGTATCGATGTACTCTCAAATAAATGAATATCGAATGCAACTAGTGCATCGATGCATAAGGAGTGCATCGATGCATAAGGAGTGCATCGATGCATAAGGAGTGCATCGATGCACCTACTTAAAATACAAACATCGAATGTGATTTATGCACCGATGCATAGAACATGGTGTAGTGCATTAATACATACCTTCATTAAAAGATAAAAATAGCTTTGTTTTTAGCCTAAGGAGTGATAGTTTAGAATATATCAATTAGTATATTGATATGTATCAATGTATTACTATGTAGATTTAGAACGTAATCTCGTTCCGGAACAATTGAATGATTAGAATCGAGTCAAAGCAAGGCTAAGGTGAGTACATATTATAAGTATGGTACAATGGAATAAGACTTGTGATAAGTCTAATTCCTATGTTGATTTTCATAGCACAATAGTTATGAACATGTATACATGATAATTATTATGATACATGCATAAAGTATATATGTTCATATGATTTGATAAATGATATATGTGAATAGATTCAAATGCACATGTGACATGGTAAGTGATATGAGTTATGTGATAACAAGAGAATTGACATGAATACATGAACATATGAAACATAAGAATAATGCCCATGGTATACGATATGAGAGCTATAGGTATAGTTGGCATGCCAAGAGTCGAGGGTTCTACGTGGTCCTTCGGGACATATATGTATCCTTTGGAACATTTACAGGGTCTTTTGAGACAGATTTGATCCACTGGAATATGTATATGGTTCTTAAGGAGTGGTCCTTTGGGATAAATACAATACATATATCATTCGAGACAAATTTCATAGCCCTTAGTGGGGCCCATACGAGCTGTGGTGATAGCATAGTGCACAACCTCAATGTACTCGAATACCTTGAGTTCTAAAAAATGTACATGGGCCTATAAAAGGTTATCAAAGGTAATTGCATTGTTATAGTTATATGTTACCATATTATTATTGTTTACATTGAATTGTATATATCATGATTGAATGGATAGATTGCATGTTCATATTCATACGGAATGTATTATTATTATATTTATATGTCTCACTAAGTCTATGACTTAGCGTGTAAGTGATTTACACGTAGGTACCAAGAATCAGGAAGAGCAGAAATAGGGTGGTAAGAACAACATCACTGCTAGAAGATCAGATCAGAAGTAACGGATAAAGTATGTCTTTTCGTGTATAGTGTTGGCATGTAAGAAAGTTTCTGTTATGAATGCTCTGAATTATTTAATGTCTCACTAGTCTATGACTTAGCGTGTAAGTGATTTACACGTAGGTACCAAGAATCAGGAAGAGCAAAGATAGGGGGTGGTAAGAACAACATCACTGCTAGAAGATCAGATCAGAAGTAAGGATAAAGTATGTCTTTGTCGTGTATAGTGTGGCATGTAAGAAAAGTTTCTGTTATGAATGCTCTGATCGATTTGTATTTTGTGGTTTCTTTTATATAAATTAAGGTATTTGGTTTTAATGAAAGTTTAAAATTTCTTTGTTTTCTTTAAGTGTCAAAGTTTAAAAGTCAATGTGACACCTCAGACTCATATTCGGGGTTGGATACGTGTTAGGGGTGTTACATTTAATGGTATCAGAGCAACGGTTTAGTCGATTCTCGACATAAACTGAAGTCTAGAGGTCTTATATATATACATGCTAAAAATAGTGAAAAACTTCTGAACTGATATAATAGTAAGTATGTTGTTTTGCTAATGGAACGATATGGTTATGTCTTATAGATGTCCGAACATGGTAGCTCTAGAAGTGAAGCGAGAGATATAGGCCCGTTGAAAGTAGTAATTCACCTGCCCTGGCCAGGCAAGGTGAAGAACAGGCACATTCTGGAGTGCCTGTAACTGATCAAGATGTGTTCTTCATAACACTGGATGCGATATTGGTGCGTTTTCAACCTTCTGTTACTTCAACTCTGAGAATGAATGCTATAAAAGAGTTTTAAGGGTTAGGAGCACCAGAGTTTAAAGGTGAAGGAAAAGAAGGTCATGTTGTTGCGGACCTTTGGCTTAATGATGTAAAAATTATGTTAGATGGTCTCCATTGTTCTAATGTAGAGAAGTTAGATGGAGTGGTCTCCTTTCTTCGTGGGCAAGCGAGAATCTGGTGGATAAACGTCACTCTGAGAATGACAAGTGACCAAGTGACCTGGTTGTTGTTCTTAGAAGAGTTTAAACACAAGTATATAGGAGACAGTTTATCAGGAAAATGGAGCAAGAATTCTTGAACCTGAAGCAATTGGACCGCACTGTATATGAATATGAGTGTGAATATAACAAGTTAAGTCATTTTGCGGTCGAGTTAATTCCAACAGAAAAAGATTCGTGTGAGTGGTTTGTTGAGGGTTTGCACCCAAGGTTAAAGAAGATGCTGATAGTATTGAACGTGTCCTCATTTCAAGAGGTAGTAAATTGTGCTAAAGCCTTAGAGAGAGCTCAAAATGAAAGATTTGGGAATCAAAGAACCCAACCATCTAAAAGAACTGGGCTTCATCAAGTTTTGCACCACCTAAGAGAAGTAGAGATTTTGGGTTCCGACCTCAAGTACAATCAAATTCGATGGCATCTGTTGCAAGAGATTCAAATCAGATGAGAGCTAGACAGACTCAAACTGTAAGGTCTGGTGATGGACGAGCACAGCAGAGTCAAATTAGACAATGTGAAATTTGTGAAAGAAGCCATAGCGGAACGTGTAGGGTAGTTACTGGATCTTGTTTCTGATGTGGTGAAGTGGGACATTTCATGAGAGATTGTCCATTGGGGACAGGAGAACTAGTACAGTCGAAGCGATCTGCTTCGATGTCTCAAAGGAGAAGAGGTAGAGGAAGAGGTAGAAGTCAACCTGAATCCTCTACTCAACAGGAAATACGCTCCACTACTCGAGTGTATAATATTAATACTAATGAAGATTTTGATGATCCAAAGATGATAACAGGTACCTCTTAATTATGTAATAGATATGTTATGATATTGATTGATCTGGACTTGCATTCATATATTAGTATAAATTGATGAGAATTGAGAATTCAATTAGAAGTTATTTATAGTGATATGGAAGTGACAAATTTATTAGGGTACAATGTTGGGATAAATAAGATATGTTGAGAATGTTCCATTAGAATTCAGAGAATTGAATTCCCTGTTAAATTGATGGAATTACTATTCAAATGATTTGAAGTAAGATTGGAAACTATAGAGTTAGAGGATCTTTATCGTTCTGAAATAAAGTAGTTTCTTTACTTCAGTGACAAGATAAGGTAGAACAAATGGGTGTTACATCCGATAAAATTGGAACGATACAGAGAAGATTAGCATGGCCCCTGCGCAAGGATGACAGCACAAATCCAGAAATGGGTGTTATTAGGGAAAATATGTACATCAGTAATCAATTTTTAAGACAAGGTAAATGGAATGTTTGAATGCGAACCAAGGAAATTTTATATAAGTGAGAATGAAGGTTTGATAATTTAAGGAAATGGAGGACAAACTATTTTGATTGGGAAGATATATAGTATATGAATGATTTGATGGTGGGGTATGTTTTTATTAGAAGAAATGAGTTGAATAATAAAGTAGTATGATAGTGAGTGTAATAAAGATAAAGGATTGTATGTTTGGCGGCGAAGTAAGAATTGATAAAAAAATTTAAAATGATAAGGAGGGATAAGTATAAGGGATATGAAAGGAATGTGAGAGCATCAAGGAAAAAGGTAATGAAAGAATTAAAGTAATGAAGTAAAGTTTATGATAGCACAAAAGATTTATTGAAGAGGTGATATGTGAAAATGAATAGTAGATGTGTAGACAATATCTTATCTCCTTGTGCAATGAAAATTCGAGGACGAATTTTCTAAAAGGGGGGAGATTTGTAATATCCCAAAATACGAATTAGTGACTAAATTGTAAAACTTCAGAATTTGGTGATTAAAGTAGGATGATTGAATAGTTTAATGATATATCTGGAAGGATTGTTAGTAATTATTAAGTGAATTAAAGGGCCAAAATGGTCATTTATCCAATAATAAATTAAAATGATAAGGATGAGATATATACACGTGAGAAATGAGGGGGAAAGGAAACAAATTTTCCAGAGTTCTCTTCATCCTCTCTTTTCTCTCATCGTGAACCAAGTTAGAGCAAAGTGTGAGTTTTCTGATTAGTTGGTTATTTGATGAATTAAAGGTTATGTTTTGATCATTAGATGATAACTAAGCTTAAGGAAAGATTAAGTTATCTTATAATCAAAAGATGAAGAAGTTATAAGAGATTAAAGAAAATGAGTTTTTAAATGAATTTATGGAAAAAAGTTGATAAGTTGAATTTGAAGTTAAATTTGACTTGTCATCATGCTAATTAAGGAATATGAACTGTTAGAATTGTACTTATAACATATTGGAATTGAGTATGATTATTGAATTACATATGAGGGATAGGATTTTGAGGTTAAAGATGATTTTCATGGATATAAGTTGGTTTAAGTAATGATGATTGGGTTTAATGACATGATAGGGGTTTTTAGAAGAATTGATGATTTTCGGGCTTAAAATACAATTTATGGGTTGTGTGTATCGATGCACTCTCAAATAAATGAATATCGAATGTAATTAGTGCATCGATGCATAAGGAGTGCATCGATGCACCTGCTTAAAATACAAACATCAAATGGGATTTATGCACCGATGCATAGATAGTGCATCGATGCACCCGTCAAGGGATGCATCGATACATGGTGTAGTGCATCGATGCATACCTTCATTAAAAGATAAAAATAACTTTCTTTGTAGCCTAAGGAGTGATAGTTTAGAATATATCAATTAGTATACTGATATGTATCAATGTATTACTATGTAGATTTAGAACGTAATCTCGTTCCGGAACAATTGAATGATTGAATCGAGTCAAAGCAAGGCTAAGGTGAGTACATATTATAAGTATGGTACAATGGAATAAGACTTGTGATAAGTCTAATTCCTATGTTGATTTTCATAGAACAATAGTTATGAACATGTATACATGATAATTATTATGATACATGCATAAAGTATATATGTTTATATGATTTGATAAATGATATATGTGAATAGATTCAAATGCACATGTGACATGGTAAGTGATATGAGTTATGTGATCACAAGAGAAATGACATGAATACATGAACATATGAAACATAAGAATAATGCCCATGGTATACGATATGAGAGCTATAGGTATAGTTGGCATGCCAAGAGTCAAGGGTTCTACGTGGTCTTTCGGGACATATATGTATCCTTTGGAACATTTACAGGGTCTTTTGAGACAGATTTGATCCACTGGAATATGTATATGGTTGTGGTCCTTCGGGACAAATACAATACATAGGTCATTCAGGACAAATTTTATAGCCCCCAGTGGGACCCATACGAGCTGTGGTGATAGCATAGTGCACAATCTAAATGTACTCAAATACCTTGAGTTCTCAAAAATGTACATGGGCCTATAAAAAGTTATCAAAGGCAATTGCATTGTTATAGTTATATGTTACCATATTATTATTGTTTACATTGAATTGTATATGACATGATTGAATGGATAGATTGCATGTTCATATTCATACGGAATGTATTATTATTATATTTATATGTCTCATTAAGTCTATGACTTAGCATGTAAGTGATTTACACGTAGGTACCAAGAATCAGGAAGAGCAGAAATAGGGTGGTAAGAACAGCAGCACTGCTAGAAGATCAGATCAGAAGTAACTGATAAAGTATATCTTTTATCGTGTATAGTGTTGGCATGTAAGAAAAGTGTATGTTAGGAATGCTCTGATCGATTTAGTATTTTGTGGTTTCTTTTATGTAAATTAAGGTATTTGGTTTTAATGAAAGTTTAAAATTTCTTTATTTTCTTTAAGTGTCAAAGTTTGAAAAGTTAATGTGACACCTCAGACTCATATTCGGGTCAGATACGGGTTAGGGGTGTTACAAATAATGCTCTTTTTCAAGAGCCCATCAATAGATACAAGCATACTATCTTCTTGAACTGCACACAATCTACCTCTGAGACACTATTCTGACAACGTAATTTAACAATGTTGGCAGCTATTTCGATATAAAAGCTCGATGAAGAAATTTCTGGTAGCAGAGTTGTGCTTTTAGCCTTATAACATTTTTGTTATAAGATCTGAGAGCTTAAATTTTTTTAATTTTTTTTCATTTTATTGTATTGAACTTGAATTGACTCAAATATAATTCAAATTTTTATTAAATGTTATTTAAATTATCATAATTAAATTTATATTTTATATTATTTTTCATTTATGTTATAATTGTTAGATAATTTTTTGTACGAAAATTAAACGGTATAGTTTATATTATATTTTTAGAGAATTAATCACGTTTAATACTAACATTCAGTTATTATCAATTTAATTATATTTTTATTGCCAAAATTATTCATATTATTAATATAAACCATTAATATATGTTACATAATAAATACTTTATTATTAATATTATTTTTTCTTTATATAAATTAAATTATATAATTTATATAAATTAAACTATATTAATTTTCCTTTGCATTATTAATAATGTTTTATTATAACATTTAAAAAGTAATCATATTAATATTTTAATTACATCATAAGCTAAAAAACTGATAATTTATAAGATTTCCATGGTAATATATAAGTCAGGTAAATATCATATCAGGTCATTAACAAGCCGAATCATTTACATATCAGGTTAAAAACATGTCAGGTTAAAAACAGGTCAGGTTGAAAACAAGTCAGGTTGAAAACAAGTCAGGTTGAAAACATGTCGGGAAATACCAGTTATTTACCAGGTCAATCTCGGGTTCGGGTTCATATCAGTCGGATGCAGTTCGGGTTCGGGTATCATATTTTCGGCTCAATTTGAGTTCAAGTTATTCTCAGGTCGAATGTAGGTCGGGTTTGGATCCACAATTTCCAGGTCCAAATTGGGTACAGGTCAACACCAGTTCCAACTCGAGTCGGTTTCGGATCGCCACAATGCAGGTCAAAAATAGTTTTGACTCAAGTCGGTTTCAGTCAATTTTGTAGGTCAGGCCAGCTTTTTACGGCCCTACTCGACATTATAGGTGGAAAGTCCGATGGTTAACGACACTTTGATCTTGCCAATTACCTCTCTTTTGGTCCCATCAAATGCTCGGACCACGTTTTGGTAGGTTCTCATATGCGATGCATCAATTGGCAACCTTTTTAGTGTAACTAAAGGCATCACGTTCAGGGCTGAGCCATTATCGATTAAAATACTCGGTAAAGTGTGCCCCTTACAGTAGGTAGTGATGTGTAATGCCTTTGTTCGGCCTCTCCCTCCGGATGGAATCTCATCATCTGAGAATGAGATGAGATTATCAACTTGAATATTGTTTACCATTCGATCCATTTTGCTGACTGGTATGTTCTGTGGTATGAACGTCTGATTTAGGACTTTTAACATTACTTCTCGGTGTGCCTCTGAGTTCAATAGCAGTGCCAGCATTGAGGTGTGTGTCGAGAAGCTGTGGAGCTGTTCTACAATGCTGTACTCACTGTGTTTCAAGAATTTGAGGAACTCTTTAGCTTTCTTCTCCTTTACAAGTTCATTGACAGCTAGCACATCTTCCTTGAAGGGCTCAAGTGGTCTCTGCCCACTTTGCTATCATCTTCTTTCGAAGTACTCACCTGACAATCATACTTCTATGGCACATATCGAATATCCTTGTATTGAAATGGTCTGGGTGTCGTGATCACCACCTTGGCTTGTGTCATCATTATTATCTTTGCTTTAGGGGTAATTATCAAATGACTACCCCTACCAAATCTTTTTTCTAATGACTCTCCAGTAACGCAAACGTCTGTTTCTGGAGAATCCTATATATCTTCATAAAATTCCAGCTCCTTCCTGTTCATCATGAGCTAGATTAATGCTTGGAATTCTGGGCAATCCTGCACCTCATGTCCATCTTGATTGTGGTAACACATGGTTACTGTTTTCCATTCCTGATTGCCTCTGACTGGGGGTGTGAGAAGCCCTACTTTCACCTTTTGGCTCCATATTAAGCCAAAGGGGATTTTACCTCTGAAACACTTAATTTGACTCTCTTACCCTTCTCGGTTGTGACTGTGTTAATCCCAGTCTCTTGATGATTAGACAAGGGATTCTATGCGATGTTTGGTGTTCCAGAGTTGAAATGAATCCAATTATTGTTTTGCATCCATTGCCAAGCCTCTTGAATGCAAGATAATTTTCAATCGAATGCCCTTGCACATAGCCATGGTATTCGCAGTGAGCGTTCTCGTTTATACCATCTCGGGTAAGGGGGCTTAATTGGCTCCATGGGGTAAGGTGACACCACGTGG